GTGGGGGGTGGAGTCCAACTGGACCCACTCGGCACGGCGGCTACTGATTGTCCTATTGTAGCCTACCCTGGGTGATTATGATGACGAAGAATTTGGTGGAATGATGGCAGAGGAAACTGAAGTCCTTGGAGAAAACCTGCCCCAGCGCCACTTTGTCCACCACAAATCCCACTTGACCTGACCCGGGATTGAACATGGGCTGCCACGGTGGAAAGCCTGCGACTAACTGCTTGGGACGGCGAATCATTAACCCATTCTCTTCTGTTTATTTTTGAACGTAAATTCAGAATGAAGTTTATGTAGAAAAATGGCTGACCCAGCTGGTGAACTCAGTACAAGGGGCAAGGCAGTGAATATGTTGAACGCTCAGTTCCCAGAGAACCCTGGACCTTGTATGGCATAATTGTATTTGGTGGTGAAGTTGCTGTAGCATTCAAGTCTTTATTTCAGGGAATTCTATGAAGACGTTCTGCCTGAGTTTGAGCTGTATGGTCGAGTGGTACAGTTCAAGGTGTGTTGTAACTGTGAGCCACATTTGCGAGGAAATGTATACATTGAATATGCCAGCGAGAGGGATGCTGTTGCAGCATTCCAGAAGTTCCAAGGCAGGTGGTATGGAGGTCGTCAGCTCAACGTTGAATTTACGTGTGTCTCCTCTTGGAAATCTGCATTATGTGGTGAGTTAAATTGTCACACAAAATAGAGCCATGTACCTTAACTGCTAGGCATGTGTTGTACATGAATTTCCAGGTGGTATCACAATGATTAATCCTTTAAATCTTCATATATACCACCTATTCTAACATTAAAAATCTTGTTCATTTTGCTCCCAAGGTGTGTTTATGTGTTTTATATGATTCTCAGAGTATATAGCAGTTATGTCCTAAAATTGCATTGCAGCAAAATACTGGTTCCAGTGTTTAAGTTACAATTTTTGTGGTTCCAGCCAGGTTCCATATTTGTAATATTGTCACATGATTGAGTGAATATAGACAAGGTCTGGATTAGTAATCAGACTTATTGGACAGTTTTACACCAACTTCACAAATCACTGTCACACAGAGACTAGTGTTCTCAGTCATGGTCATCACTGTGCTGCTTGGTAATGGCTTCCAACAGTGGACATTTCCCTTCCTAAGGGTTCCCAAACTGTCCCCAGCCTCAGCTACACGCTTCTCATTTCTGCTAACCTCTCAACTCAGTGGCTTTTCGACTCAGACTGTACTTGGAATTACTGACTCCAAGGCTTGCGGCCATTTCAGACCAACCTCCTACTCTTGTGACTGACTTCTCAAGACTGTCGTAATGGCAGCTGGTCCTCATTGTATAGCCTCAGCATGGACCCCACAGGAAAAACCTCTCCCAGCAGTTCTTCTGTTGTTGCATGACAGCTATCAGCATGGACCACGTAGAAAACACCGCTTCCCACAGTTGCTCCACTGTTGCATGTTACATAGCCGTTACCTAGCAATGGCTGTTTCTCTTTCTCCAGAGTTTTTCCTCTCACCAAATGTGCCGCAATATGTAGGTCATCCAGAAAGTAAAGACCGTTTCATTATGACAAAAATAAATGAATGCAATTAAAAGGTTTTATTTTACATCATTACTACAGAACTTAAATCATTTTTTTATACAGTCCCCATGAAGATGGAGGCACTTGTCATATGTGTGATCAGTGTCTGTTTGCCTGCATTGTAGAAATCTGCCACCAGTCTTTAACCATCTTCTTCACTTCTTCATCACTACCAATGCACATGCCACACAAAACTGCTTCAGGTGTGTGAACAAGTGAAAATCACTTGGAACCAGGTCCAAAATGTAGGGAGAATGAAAAAAAAAAAAACATTCCAGGCAAAGTCTGTAAGTAGTGCATGTGTGCTAGCAGGCTTTACTTTCTGGATGACCTTCATATGTTATTTTCCTAGATTTAACCTTTCTTACTAAGGGTTTTCCCTCATTTTGCTTATGAAACTGCGGTTTCTATACATGTTTCATATCACATTTAATACTGAAGAGAATTTGTTTCCATTCCGCAACGTGTGGCATGCTTCAGGGTTAACATTTGCATGGCATGCAATGCAGCATGGCTGTTTTTACCCATACTTTGTTCATCCTCTGCATCAGTTTGAAGTGATTACTGTTTCTTTTGTCTGTTTGTGTGTGTGTGCATATGTATGCGTGCATGCATGCACATGTTGCATTCAAGTGGTGTGGGGTTTTGGATGTTATATTGAAGTGATGAATGACCGTGGCATGGAAAAGAAAGAAGTTAACAACATGTGAGAAAGTTAAAAATTATTCAGGAAGTGGTAAAGAATGCAACTGTGTTAAGAAATGAAATTTGAAAGTGCCTGTGTTGCTTTCATCATTAAGTAACATAATCCTACAGAAAGCTTCAATTCTTGAAGAAGCGATTTAGTATGGGGCACATTCAGAGAAATGAAAAGACTTTAATATTATTAAGTGAACAAGTTTCAGTGCCTAATTATTAATTTAAACAGCCATTTTAGGCTTCATTTTCCAAAAACCCCATTTAATATTTACCCACATATAAGGTATAGAAAGCTTGTCCCCCAGATAGACCTTAAATCAGGGTTTCGCCATGCATCGAGTATTTACATTATGCGGCAATCCTATCAAGTTGGATGTTTTCACAACATTGAAAACGAAGATTCATGGCAAGTTTCTTGAACAGATGTGATGGTACTTCATTGAAAACAGTTCCAAGAGACAACTTTACCTTAAATAATGTGCAAAATAATATGAAGCAGAAACTGGTGAACGCCATGATCAGGTATCATATTCATATTATGACATGAGAACCAGAAGAGACAGCTATTACTAGGCCATGGCTGGTATATGTGCGCCCACATCAACCAACACACGGTCCATTGCTAGGCAGCAGCCCCTGTTGACACGTCACACGAGAAGAGGAGCTGCTGGAGGTAGTGTTTTCTATGTGGTCCAACACATGACAGTATGTAGGTGCTTCTGTCTTTCATATTTCAGCATGGAGACTATCTCAGGTATACCTCAAAGCAAGTTCTGAGATGGGGCCTCATATTATGCTGCAGTTGCTTGTTTCCAAGTCCTTTCCGATTCATTATTCACTGGTCATCCTATCATTCAGTGCTACATGGTCTTGTGCTACGGGCACCATCAAATTAATTCACATCCCTACCATTTCCCCTTTGTAACTGACCATAATGTACTGGTTGCCCTACTTGTTTTAATCTGTTAATTACTGTCATGTGTATTAGTGCCTATAGACGGTGTGTGAATTGGTGAATGGATTAGTGTCCACCTACAGATCATAACTACATGGTGTGTTCAAAAAGTATCGAACCTTTGGTCAGCAGAAATACATTTATTGATTTGGAGGTACAAAACCCTAATCCCCTTCAAAGTAATCTCCTTGGTAATGCACACTCTTCTCCCAGCGCTTTCACCATTGTTGGAAACACTTCTGGAACGCGTCTTTTGGAATGGTGATCAGCCAGGCCATCGCATTCTGCGTACTGTCTTCTCTTGACTCAAATGGGATTCCTTTCAGCGGCATTTTCAGCTTGAGAAATAGCCAAAAGTCACACAGAGCCATGTCGGGGGAGTAGGGAGCCTGACGAACCACAGGGATGTTGTGTTTGGTGAGGAAAGTCTGAATCAGATGCGCAGAATTGGTGAGTGCGTTATCATGATGGAGCTGCCAAGTTTTTGCTACCCACAGATCCGGTCATTTGCACCACGGCGACAAAGGACCTCCTGGTAGTATTCCTTTGTGATGGTTTGGCCTTGTGGTGTGTACTCATGATGCACAACCCCACGGGAGTCGAAGAAAACGGCGAACATGACCTTGACATTGCTGCGGACCTGCCGTGCTTTTTTTGGCCTCGGGGGTGTTGGATGCTTCCATTGTGATGACTGCATCTTGGTTTCTGGGTCATACCCATAAACCCATGACTCATCGCCTGTGATCACGGTGTTCAGAAAGTAGGGGTTACTGTTTGCATAGTCCAGCATGTCCTGTGCGATTTCCAGACGGCGTTGCTTCTGCTCCATTGTTATCAGTTTCAGTACAAATTTCGCTGACACTCTCCTCATGCCCAAATCCTCAGTCAAAATTGAATGTACCGATCCAATGCTTACGCCTATCTCGTTTGCAAGTTCTCGGAGAAACAGCTGTTGTTAATTCGCCTCATTACGTTATTATGGCAAGCATAACCCACCAAAGGAACTCTTGTAGTGGTATCACTCTAGTAATGCTTCCAACTGCTGAATTCTCAACTCTACTCCACTCCACTCCAATGCATTAACTGAACTGAACTCGGTCAGTTGAGTGATATGGCCTCAGAGTGAACCCAGAGAAAACACTGCTTCCAACATCTCTTCTATTGTTCCGTCATGTAGCTATCGCATGGACGACGTGGCAACAACACTTCTCACAGCTCTCCTATTGTTGTATGACGTCACCATGGATGTGACATGTTCCTCTGTTGTATGTGGAGTCATTGTTACACTGATAAGCAGTTTACCGTGCCCTAACGTAGTAACAGCACTCTTTCAGTTGTGTCACAGTATTGTAACATATTACATTATTATTCAATTGTTTTTGTTGTAATTCGTTAAGGGGAATTCAAATAACAGAATTAAACATATGAATTATTAAAAGATTTTAAAAATAATTAGGTTTATTAGTACTTTTTGGAGCATTACAGCATCGATCATCAACAGTTATGATTGAAGCTACCAGAACATTTACATGCTTTATAAAAATTTTATCAAAGTCTGACATCGCCAGCACCTCAACAAATTCAGACAGCGTAGCCATGGTCATGGAATGGCAGAGACTACTGTAAGGGTGGTCACTGGGGTCTTGGTGTTTCTGAAGTAGCTCTCCAGGTTGCAGAATTCAAGTTTTGAGCTGTATCTCCAAAAATTGAGAGCATGAGCCCTTTGGATATTGATTTAATGGGCATGTAAGTTATGTAGTTTTAGATCACGGTACCACTGTACTTTGATTACATTCTTGTGAAACAGTGTTTGGAATCTCATGTACAGCTTGTCTCTGTGTGAAATTAAATGGATTTTGCTGAACTTTTTTTGTCACCATTTGTGCAGGTTTGTTCTTCAAGAGTCGTTGTCCAAAAGGAAGGAGTTGTAATTTTCTTCATGTCTTCCGTAATCCGGGAAATGCTTTTGTGGATGCTGATCACGGTCGTGGGTATTCATGGAGACATCGGCAACGCAACCCTAGGTCACGATCAAGATCGAGGTCCAAGTCTTATTCTCGCAGTCCTTGTAGGAGGTCACATAGGTTAGTAGTAGTTGTATTCTGTCAGATAGGCCTCGTGCAGCACCAGTTCCAAAATGGTCACAGGCTGGACTTGGGACTTTTATGTCATAGTAAAGTTGTCCCTGTGCTTAACTAATTAAGCATTATGCTATGGAGACGTATGGGGGAGAGGATGTATAGATCCACGTTTTCTTGACCTTGGCACTAGCTGGAGTTGAGTGGTCAGCTTCACATCCTGGCTGCTCTACCCCCAGATACCTATTGGATAGGAGGCTGGGTGGACCCCGGAGCCGGTCTGGACTATGTGGAGAAGAGAAAATTCTTGAACCTGCTGAGACTCAAACCCTGGCCCCTCTGTCATCCAGCCCATAGCCAGTCACTACTATGCTCTCCCAGCTTCTTTTGCCATGTAATCAGTTAAAGTAGGAAGTTCTAGTCTGTGAAGTTGAGAACTTTGTTGAAAAATTAAACACTTAAATGGCATGTTCTGTGGAAGGAATTGTAAATGACATACTGACATCCACCTTTTTATGTTACATGTAAGAAAAGAAAATGTAGCTCACATGAGAAAAGAGGAGTGAAGAAATAACATGGCATGTAGGTCAGTGTATTTGCATTAAGTTATTGTTTTGTTCAAACCCTTATACTTCAGATAGCTTGCCAGAACTGTAGCATAAAGCAATGCACATTCTTTTGTANATAGCTCACATGAGAAAAGAGGAGTGAAGAAGTGACATGGCATGTAGGTCAGTGTATTTGCATTAAGTTATTTTTTTGTTCAAACAAAACTTCAAATAGCTTGCCAGAACTGTAGCATAAAGCAATGCACATTCTTTTGTATGTTTAATCATTCCCCCACTCTAGATCTATACTTCTTTGATTTCAAATTCATTTTAGGTGGTCACTTCAGAAGTGTGAAAGCAAGGTTTCACTGTGTGTAAATAAGCTGATATTGTCAGCAGACATGATGTGAACCTTTTCTACAATTCATTCTGAATGTGCCACAAGTTTTTTATGTTATGTCACAGAAATCTGTACAGTCAGTGGTCTGCACGGGCACATTTTCACTCATGTTGCAGGAGTAAGGACAGCAAGAGTCATTGGAGGTGGTCAGAATCCCCAGAGCCACCACCACACAGTATGAACGGTGACTCTAAGCAGAAAAGTCATCACAGTTCTGCTCGCAGAAGCCGTGAAAAGATTCATTCTCAAGAAAGGAAAGGAAAGAGAGATGAGGAAAGAACTAGAAGTAGGAGTTCAAGAACGCTTAACTCTCACAGGAAGGAAAGGAAACGGAAAACATCTTGGTCCCATTCCAGATCCAAGTAAATGTATGTAAACCAGAACACATTAAGAACAACTTGCTGTATTAAGAATTAGAGTTTGACATTGCTGTACAGGTTTTATTGTATCAGATCCACAGTTCTCACAGCAGCCACTACTTGGAGTATCATCTGTGTAGGGTGAGATGCCATGTGATCATCTGTTGAAAGTTCACTGATGTTTTGGAGGAAGGTATTGCCTCCATCTGCAGGGTTTAGGATATGCTAAGTTTATAAGCCTTAACTGGCCTTTCCCTGGCAGTGGCTTCTAACAGTGGAAGATTCTTCAACTTCCCACTCTAAGGTCCTCGTCACAACCGCCTGTGCAGAACCCTTTGTCAACTATCAACTGAACTATAGTGCCATCTCTTCTCAGCCTCCCTTGCAGAGCTCAGCTGAACTGTCAACCCTAACTAACTGGATTGCCCCACTCACTTTTTTATAACCACTTTGCACAGACCACATCAGAAACATCATTCTTCTATTGTTGTTTGTGTATTTATTGCTGCTGGAACATGTTTACCGAGCCATCCTCAGAAATAGCTGTTTGTTTATTCATCTACTGCAGAGCAACAGTTGTACTCCTTGCTTGTTTCGGGTTCTGTATCTGGCAAAAGGTCCAAATTAGGTTAGAATATAAAGTTCTGGTGTTTCTTCCTTCATCATATATAACAAAACAAATCTGGACAGCAGTAGAGCTCTTGGAATGTCTTCCTGGAATAAGTAACAGCATCACCTAACCTCTGTGCTAAGAGATTATTACACTGGACAGCAGTAGAGCTCTTGGAATGTCTTCCTGGAATAAGTAACAGCATCACCTAACCTCTGTGCTAAGAGATTATTACACTGGACAGCAGTAGAGCTCTTGGAATGTCTTCCTGGAATAAGTAATAGCATCGCCTAACCTCTGTGCTAAGAGGTTATCCCACTGGACAGAAATTCCAAAAAAAGAAATGAAGATATGTATGTGCACAGGGTTGAATTGAGAGAAACTCTTGAGTCAAACCTTAGTGTTTCAGTGTTGAATTACAAGAATTTTCATTGCAGTAGCACCAAAGATACCTGCCCCATTAGAATCGTAACAGCTGGCAGTACTATCTAAAATCACAACTCATCAGCAAAGTGTGCCCACTCTCACCCTCTTTCTGCACTTTATGGAAAGGACATGATCCTGGCACTAATTTTTTAAGTACAATGATAGATGAAACTTATTTTTTGTAAGAGGATGTGGTATCAAAAGGGATAAGTATTACACTTTAGCGCACTGTAGATGGCGACAAGGGTTATTGTGATCGCAGTGAAGAAATTTTTCTAGTTGAGAAATTCTTTGTTCTTGTCTTAATAATTTAAGATATTCCAAATTCTCTAATTCTTGCTACTTCATGGCAGTTGCATGTACTATATGATGGTGGTGAGTAGCACTAATATGGATCCATATTGGGATAGATCAGTAACAAGGGACATATCTGATGAGGAATTGACCAGCCAACCTGAGAGAGGGTTAATGAGGACTTATCTCTGGATAAGCCCTCTCCACATCACGAAGAATACTACAGCAAATTAGCTTATAGAATAAAATGGAATTCTGATTGCTAATATTATGTAAATAAAAAAAATATTTGATGAAACTGCCTGAAGATGGTCCCATATGCGGACCGAAACATGTAGCAACTATCAAATAAAACCAATGTGAGCAGTTTGATTGGTTTATTTTTGTTGTTTTGGCTGCCAATCATGATACAGAACAGGATGCAAACAGTGAAGAGAGTTTTCCTTTTGTTATGTACAAATCTGGTGGGACACTTCTGACACAGAACATGTGCGTAATTTATAATTGTGAATGTTCTGTTTGGGTAGAGCACTGCAGATAGTTATTCACTGTTATACCATGAAGAAGCATACTTGGACTCACAAATAATAATTACATTTGTGGTCTGTTAGGAAGGGTGCTGAGGAGAATATTTGGACTGAAGAGAGAGGAAGTGACGAGAGGTTGGAGAGAACTGCATAACGAGGAGCTTCATAACTTGTACTCTTCACCAAATATGATTAATATGATGAAATCAAGGAAGATGGGATGGGCAGAGAATGTAGCATGAACAGGGGAAGACAAATGCATATAGGATATAGGATGGGAAAGCGAGAAGGAAAGAGATCACTGGGAAGACCAAGGTGTAGGTGGGTGGGTAATTTTAAAGTGGAACTTAGATACAGTGGGGTAGTATTGACTGGATTGATCTGGCTCAAGATAGGGACCAGTGGAGGGCTCTTGTGAACATATTAATGAAACTCCAGGTTCCATAAAATGTAACGCTGTAAAGATTCGTCCTAAGTAAAATATTCCGACATTCAAGATTGGCAACACATAGTACACAGAAACTTTTATTTCTTTGCATTTTGCAAGATTTTGTCAAATAACTGAGGTCTACTGTCGCCCTATATGTATGGGGCATTCCATATAATAAAAGACAAATTATAATTTGCAGTCTGGTTCAGATGGGTGTCTTGACCACGCTGTAAAATTATATGTAGATATCAGTTGATGTTTCTATATAAGTTGACCACGACTGCTTCCCACATTAACCTTTGAATTACCCTTCTCGTGATCAGTTCACTCTATTGAGTGGTACATAATCCAACTGGCTCTTATGGCATAATTAAAATATGTGTCCTGATTAAAATTGTCTTGTTTCTTATGTACACTCTGTGTCCATCCTTCATCAAAACATACACATGCAAATTTCAAAGTATTGTCACATGTCTGGGGTTCTGTGACAAATAATTGTGGATTCCAGCTCAGCCAAAGCTGTTTTATTGGATAACTCATTTAGAATCACAACTACAATCATTCTGACATAAATTCTTCCAGACAATGCGAATTGACTAGTCCATCATCTCTGATCTGACCTCTGATCTGGTCTTCTCTGGTCTTCTCTGATCTCTGCTCTCCAACTGCTGTTCACAAATGTGCTCTGTTTCATAATTGCTTGGCCTACCGACTAGGGGACACCGAGTCGAACAGTCAGTCCCTCTGTTGTCATGAAAGTGATCCATCCGTTGCTGTGAGAATAAATGTTTACCTCCGTTGTCATGAAAGTGACACCTCTGTTGTGCAGGAAACGTCTGTCTACTTTGCTTAGGAGATGTTGTTTTAGGAGTTGCTACTTATGCAATGGATGTCTCTGTATGTGCTGTCTTGGAAACATGTTTAACAGCAGTTGTCTAGCAGTGGACACACACTCAGATATTCTGGCTTTTAGGCAACACACCTCGGTGTTGAACAAAACTTTTTTAATCATAAATTTATAGAGTTTGTGTTTCATTTTTTGAACCCAAATAAATATAGAGTAGCCACTCAGCTTCACTTACTTGCAGTCCAGTTATAACATCCCACACTGAGTAAACTACAAATAGCAGCTTTCAAGAAGTTCTTCTAAATAGGCATTTTTCAGGAAAATGTCATCTAGTGACAGAGAGACAATGGAAGAGTTCTGTGTCCTGGGATATGATGCCTTGTAGTCCTCTGAAAGTCAAGATGTTCCACCAAAATGTCAGTTGACTTTCAATGGACTACATGATGTTACGTGGAGAAGTCATAAAATTTTAATTATCACCCAGAAGAAACAGAGACACAGGTGCAAGAAACTGTATGTGAGTTAGTCCTTCTCTACATATGCCCCCTGCAAGGCCACACATTTTCCCCAACGATGCATTAGCTGCTGGATACCTTGATCATAGAAGGTCTCATTTTGACTGTTTAGGAAGCCCTCCACTGCGGAAATGATGTCATCATCGTCTTGGAATCGCTTACCACAAAGTGTCTTCTTTAGCCATTGAAAGAGGAAGAAATCGCTCGGTGTCAGGTCTGGTGAATATGGTGGATGGGGGAGAATTTCATATCCCAAACTGGCGGCAAGTGTCATCGTAGCATGAGCTGGTGCATTGTTGTGAAGAAGTTGCACACCTTTTCCCAGCATTCCGCGTCACTTTTTCTTGATTTCCTCCCATAATTTTCTCAGAAGGTCCCAGTAGTACTCGCCAGTGATGGTGATGCCCTTTTGCGCATAGTCAGTCATGATGACACCCCGCCAATCGCAGAACACACTCAACATCACCTTTCCTGATGACAGCTGGGGTTTGGCTTTCTTTGGTGGTGGCGAGCCTGCATGCTTGCACTGCTAGCTCATTTCCTTTGTTTCAGGGTCATAATGGTAGACCCAACATTCACCCATCGTGATCAGGCGGTCGAAAAATTCCACCTTTTCGTCTTGACACAACTGCAAAAGTTTCTTTGCCACATCCATCCATTGCCGTTTTTGAACTGGGTTCAATAATCGTGGCACCCAATGCGCAGCGACCTTTGTCATGTGTAACTTGTCATGGATGATGTTGAAAACAGACCCATGGCCAATGCGGATCTCATGAACAATAGCTTCGATAGTTATGCGCCTATCAGATAGGATCAAAGCTTCCACCTGTGCCACAATTCCCGGATCCTCAGCGAGAGATGGTCTTCCACTTTGGGGTTCATCTTCGATGTTTGTCTGTTCACAATGAAAGCGCCTCTTCCACCTGACCACTTTGCCATATGAAGGTACACCTTCCTGATACACAGGGGTCATCTGGTCGTGGATCTCCCTGGCAGACTTCCCTTGCAAATGCAGGAACCGTATCACAGCACAAGCCTCCACTTTCTCAACTGACGTCGCCATTTTGCTTCTTCCCCTTCCAATGGCTCCGTCTGTTCACTTGGCGTGGGAAAATTTGACTATTTGGCAAGCTCAGGAAATGGGCTATCTCCTATATAGGAAGATATTTTGGAATTATGGTTTTATCATGGTGATAATTAAAACATTATGATTTCCCATTGTATATCCCAGAAGATAGAGCTCTTCAGAAATGCCATTGCTCTACAGAGAGACAACAGTTGGTTGATTGACCTACTAGCAGAATAAGACTGCTTGCAGCCAACACCTGCTGCATGCTATGGGCAAGCTGTGTTACCATTGTTTCAGGCAGCTACTGCATGTTCTCGTTCTGTCAGAGTGTGCAATGAACTCTGCTTCTATTTCCCTTTGTAATAATGTTTGTGTGGAATTTTCAGATCCTAAAACACATTGTAATGCATCAGTGAGCAAAATCTGTGGAGCCATACATCTTCTCAGGTTGTTTGGTAAGTTTATTTTAGTTTCCTGTTGTTGAGACTTGTGAAAGAAGAGTGAAATGTTGATTAAATGAATGTCAGTAATGCATTTTTAACTTTATGAAACATTTTTTTCCTTTCCCAGCCAGTTTTCATATTTATTTATTATGAAACTGTTTATGAATGTGCAATGTTGAAAGTTTATGCATTGCTTTTTTTTTTCTCTGATAAATGCCCTTCATGCCGACTTTCATGCAGCTCCATTTTCCTTCAAATAGTATGCAGGCGAAACAAAATGAAGCTTTCTTCATGGGGCAGTCACACAATCAAGAAGCCCTGGAATTCCACTCCTTGTTAAATAGTGATTTGTGTGCTTACATGAAGCTTTATGAACAGATTGGTGATCTGTATGCTCGGTCTGTATGTAATTTGTATCTTTTCCTTATATGTCCGCCAAACTGTGACGAACTTAACTAATTAGACATTACGCCATGAAGGACTATGGGGGAGTGGATATATAGATACACTTATTGACCTCTGGAGGAGAAGAGAAAATTCTTTGACTCTACACTGGAGCTCTAACAGTGACCCCTTGATCGTCCAGCCCATAATCAGTCGCTATACATGACACTTGTAACAATTTTGCAACAGTGTCCATCTTCTAATAATTTGTTTTCATGTATGAGTTTAATTAAATAACCCTCCTCAGCTAGAAGTCGGTCAGTATTGTGCCCATACACCTGCTATGTTAACATATAGTGCTGCAGAATATAAAATGAAAGAAAAAATTTGCTTAAATCCATGTGTTATTCATGTGTACTTTGTCATGCAACTCAGTGCAACAACAGAATGTACAGTGAAAGGCAGCAGGTTAGGTGTAAAGATCTGCTTTCTGTCATTCGGCACCCAGTCACATGGTAGTTCCTCAGGTGTCAGTGCCCTAGAGGCCACATTAATAAGACCTGTTGCTGCATATGGGGCAGAAACATGGACCTTAACAGTAACAGATGAGAATACACTGAGGATGTTCGAGAGAAAAATAATACACAAAATATGTGGACCCATGATGGAAAATAATATATGGAGGATATGATACAGTGAAGAGATAAACACATTACTGAAAGGAGAAGATGTAGTAAGTTTATCAAATCACAGAGAATAAGATGGTTGGGACATGTTGAAAGAACGGAAGATAATGCGATGCCAAAGAGAATGTTAAAAGGAAGGGTATAGTCCGAAAGAAGGAAAGGAAGACCCAGCATGAGATGGCCAGACGGTGTTGAGAAGGACCTGAAGAAGATGAAGGTGAAAGAATGGATAGAGAAGATGAGGAATAGAGATCAGTCGAGACTGGTTGTAGAGGAGGCCAAGGCTCACCCAGGGCTGTAGCATCAAGTTTGTAGGTAGGTAGGTAGGTAGGTAGGTAGGTAGGTAGGTAGGTAACCATAATAATAAAAAACAGTGAATCATTTTTCTCTGATAAGGTTATACTAAAAGTTTCAGAGGTTTTCTGTACAAAGTGATATAATAATATAATGCATGGATTATTATTATTATTATGAACTAATATATTGTGACAAGGTACATATAAAGGGTAACATATAAAATGATCATAGACATTTGATAACAGCAAACATTAAAAGAAAGAGACATTAACACAAAATTTCCAAAGTCCTAGCATCATCCCAGCCTACTCTACGACCATCTTCATAGGTGTGTTGGGCTAATTTTGATTTTTCTAGAAGACCCTGTTGGAGATTGTGCCCGTGTTCACGGATCTGCACAGCTAGAGGTCTGCCTGAGGAAATAGAAAGTAACAGCAGATATAGAAAATATAAGGCATCGGCCCCTATGGCATGCTTAACCAATCCAATCAGCCAACTCAGTTTGGACATTTCTCCTGTCTGGATCTCTCTCATCAGCAATGGGGTTCCCAATTCACAGAGAAGATCTTAATTAGGTGACAGATTCTTCATGAATTTCTGTAAGGTTTCAGTCTCGAGTGTTCAGGTTTTACTCCCCAGATGGCACTAGTGGTAGATACTACATGTCATCAAAATTTTTTCCCAGATTCTTTGCATTGATGTTCATGCACTTCGTTTTGTTGGTGTGTTTGTAGCACAAATTTCTACCTCCTGTTCTATCTTAGTTCCACGTATGTGCATGCTCTATCACATTTTTATTGTATACTTGTTATCTCCCGCCTAATTAGCCTGGTCTCGGGTGAATAAATAGCTGTGTAAATCTGATGGGTGTTGTCCAGTGATTGAGATTAGCTCTTTCTAAGGGGCCTGAGTAGGTGTCTTCCCCCCTCACCTGAGAATGGAAACAGATCCAGTTTCCGAAACGTGGTGTTTTCTATTTTCTAGATTACCGGTCGATGGATGAAGTCCAAAAACTCAGTAATTATGTTGAGTTCCTCTGTTGTTAACCTAGTTGTACTTTCCGTGTGTGTCTGTGTGTATCCCTCCTTATCACTGCTAGGCAGTGGCCTGTTAAATGCATTCCCATGGAAACAAATGCACACAACAACAAAAGAACTGTTGTACGTGTCATTTTCTATGTGGTTTGTGTGGTATCAAAGGAAAATAAATTATTAGTTACTTAGAGAACTTCTTGTTTCTTTTGTCCTCAACCCAGGCCCTCGGGTTTGAAGACTGGTTAAAGGGACTGTATTTTTCTTCAAACAATGGATCTTTTTATTATTCATTCCTTATGACAGTTGGCTGCACTAGCTGTTACAGTCTCATGTCTTTTCATGATTTATAATATGGTATTCTGCACAGTGTGAATGCAGTCGCTCAGTGGGATGTAGTGATTAGGCTGCCGGCTGGATACCAGAGAATCAGGGTTCGTTTCTGGCTGGAGGTGGAGATTCTCTCTTTTCCACTGCATCAAGACTGCCTGAAAATAAAATGAAAATCTGTTAGCACTTGCTATTCCAATAAAAAGCATGGGTGTAGAGTGATTTGTTGCTCATTTTCAGTCTTAATATATTAATTGCTGTTTTATACTTATATTACTTAATGATGTTCTTTGAAGTGATGAGGGTATACATTATTGGTTCTGATGGAAAGATGTTAATAAATGAACAGATAAAACGTTTTCAAGATTACATTTGTGTCATGAGACCAGAAAGTAAACCCACAGAAATCTTGTTCAGGATATCCAATAATGCAGCAGTATTCAAATTGGATATCTCTAGCATATGAGTCTCGAGTATACCAGATCCATGACCCTGCCAGTTGTCATGGTTCACGGAGCCGTGCTTAGGAGGCCGAGGTACATATCCTGGCTGAGACCGGCTATCTTGACTGAGGTGTTTCATGATTTTTCCAAGTTCCTCCAGGCAGATTCTGGCATGTGACCTCGGAGTAAGCCACAGCCACCTAATTATCTTTCCATGTCACCTGCCAGTGCATGAAGATTTCTCTCTTCACTTTCTGGAAGCAACAAATGAAGACTTGTGAACAGGTACTGTGTTGCTTGGAGGCTGTGGTGTAGCTTGGGTGATGAGTTGCTAGCTTCTCATCACCAAGGCCCGGTTTCCGTCACAGGGCAGCTCACGTGGGATTTGTGGTGAACAAAATGGCACTGGGGCTGATTTTTTTTCCCCAAGCAGTGGCCATTCCACTGAGGACCTTTGTGACATTTTGTAACAAGATAATTTTTTACGGTGAGTTGTTAGTCCCCCACCAAACCCCGAAGCTGGGGAATCACCCCATGTCGGCTTTTCGCATCTGCTTATTCAATATATTCGTAGGACCCTCCATATCTGGATGCCCTCTCATTCAACCACAGCCTGAGGAAGCGCCATACTCTGGTGACGTGTCTGGACGCTACTGAGAATAGAAAAATCTCTTTCCCTTGACCGGAATCGAACTCCAACTCCTCGGTCGTCCAGCCGGTAGCCTTGTCACGGTACTGAGTTGTTAATTGTATCTAACAGGTTGGGTCCTACAAACAGAGGCTGCAGCAATCAGTGTCCCCATTTGAGAGCTCTTCTGCCCGCGAGCAAAGGGTGCCAAGGAGATGGGAGTCACGCGCCAGGGAGGGAACTGGGTCGCTCTTGTTTCCAGCGAACTGACCCAGCTGACAAACTCACGATACATACCACTTACCATTCCGACATATTTCAGGCGCCTTTGCATTCCTTGTCGGGCGGGAATTTTCGTTTTCTCTCGCACGAGACGGTATATTGATGGTGAAAAATCCATCTCGGCATTTTGACAGACTTACACTTTTTTGGCTCCCCCTCATATTCGGAACTTAAGACTTTATCCTTCATAAGCCGGAAGGTCTCGGTTTCCATTCCCGACGATGTAAAAGGTATTTTTCATCTGACCTAATCCATCCGGCCGCACAATGGCCTTGGGGTCGACTCAGCCTCTAACAGAAATGAGTACCAGGAATTAATTAAATTTTCCTGTGGAGTAAAGGACCGCCATCTTTGAACCGATTGTCTAGATAATGTGGGACTATCAACGTCTCACACCCTTATGGGCCTCCACGGCCTGTTACAGGGATAGCTACATGAAAATTACATGTAATCGCAACGTAACTCTTGTGGCCCATCTGTTCACTTTGAATTTAATTCTCTCGAAAGCCGCAGCTCTTGCAGGAGAAGTGTTTCGGGCAGTCGAACTTTGCTTCAACTTTTGTCCCAGCTTAGGTAATTACACTCGAGATGCGCGTATGAACGCCTGTTGGGCCATGTCTTCATATACTTTTCGATTTTAATCGTAATTCAAATGGAACGAAAAATTTTACTTAACTCCCCAGGCTGAAATTGCGTGAAAATCCATTGATCTGTTCTTGAGTTTCATGTATGCAGGGAGACAGATCTAGCGAAAATCTAATTGACTTCACGGAGCTGCCTTTCTTGACAAGCCGCCAGTTGTGCAGCTGCTCAAGAGTTTCCTAACTTTTCTATGAGACCCGAAGGTTCATTACAGTGTTCACAAGAGCCCTCCATTGGTCCCTATCGTGAGCCAGCTCGATTCAGCCCACAGCACCTTTTTTTATTTATTTATTTTTAATTTTAGTAATCAGAATGTTACATAATTCTATAAGCTAAAGTGCTGATTACTCATTAGATATACTAATGACTAGTGGCATGAACAGGTTGATATCCAGCGAAATCACCTGTATAATCTATAATTAGTGTCTATACATTAACTTAAGAGTAGTTCACTTGGCCACAGTTTGGTCCACAGCACCTCAAATCCAATTACAAATCCAAACCCTGTCTCTAGTCGCCCAATCACGTGACACTATGTGCAAATGACAGAGCAGGCTGGTGTAGCGATAACGAAGTAGGCTTTTGTTCGTGAGGTGCACGGTTCGAATCTCGGTCGAACACCGGATTTCCGGAGGAAGGTGATTTGTGGTTTTCCTTCCGTGAAAATAGTAAGATTGCAACTCGATTATGCCGTAACCACCTATTTCAAAATCCTTTCTATTTACTCATTCTACCATCAGACGCTATCTAATGCAGATGCTGATCGTCTGAGATAACCCCCCCCCAAAAAAAATTACAGATGTGTGAAATGTTTTGCATCGCAAATAGCACGAGTGGGTCAGCCTTGAGAGAACAAGAAGAGACATTAATTGAAGTTGGATCTGTAAGAAGGTCTTCCGGTTTTGTACTTTCCTACCAAATTACACGGTGTCACATCCCGGGATATTTAGAATTCCAGGCATTTGTACTTTGTCTACCATTATATAAAATCGGTCGTGATGAAATAAGATTACTGCCGCGTAGTGTGCTAAAAATTGACCGACGTTTCAGAAGAGCATACTGTGTCCATCTTGAAGGTCGAACAGTTAGCCAAGCAAGAAACCAAAAGAGTGAGCCCCGTGTTTTTAACCTGGTTCATGTATACGCCTGTGAGTGTGCATGGGGACAAGGTAGTAAGTAGTGCTGGCCCTTAAGAGGGCCGTGTTTCCTGCCTTCCTCATGCCGGTTGCTTGACTTACTTTCAGATCCTGAAGATGGAGGCGGTATGTTTTTCCGAAACCACCCGCTAAGTTTCCACCAGACTACATGGCGCCACACCCAAGAAAATTGCACTCGTCATAATCATCTTGTTGAGAACGTCGAAATCGTCAAGGTGAGATAAGGTTTTCTGTACCAGTTAGTCACTGCTTATGTCTGAAGGGTGACGTCCCTCGCCGCTCCTACGAAATTGCGATACGTTTAACCGACCTGCCAAATTTAAAAATTGCTGTTCAAGCTTTTGTGTGACTTTATTGATGTCTTTTCATACGTATATCTTGCGGAAACATGGAAAATGCATATATAGAATTCAGTGTGAGTTAGTACAGTCGCGCTTGCAGCTGTCTTCTCTGAAATTTATTAAAAGACGAATTCCGTCTTCTGGGAGGCGATACTTTCCTCCGAAACGTCGGTTCACACAAAATATACTCGACACCACATCCCACAAGACGGCATTCATGCACCCTGAAGATGGAGGCAATACGTTCCTCCGAAACATCAGTTCACACAAGATCTACACGGCGCCACTTCTCACAAGTCGGCAAGTCGGCATTCTTCATAGTCACCACTGTGGAAACCTCAAATTTTACTTAAGATATTCACTTTTAAAAGTTTATCACTACATGTTTCGACCAATGTGGTCATTCATCAGGTTTAATACTGTTTATATACCTCGAAGTCCGTCAACAGTGTAACAGATTTTTCCTTCTTTCTTTCACTTTCACTTTCGACGCAAAATGTTTCGGCCCTAAATGGCCATCTTCAGGTGTCTTACTGTGCTAGAACTGCTACACTGCGCTAATATTGTCCATTCATCACATATGCATAGCATAGTAAGACACCTGAAGATGGCCATTTAGGGCCGAAACATGTGTCGAAAGTGAAAGTGAAAGAAAGAAGGAACAATTTGTTGCATTGTTGACGGACTGTGTAATGCATTAAACAGTATTAGATATAGCAATGCAACAGGATTCATCGGGTATTAAAATTGTTGGGCGAGGAATCTGCTGTCTTCTGTGCCGTTGGGTATGTCCCCTCAGTACGCATGCGTCTCTGTAACATGTATAATTCTTCTATTAGCATTCATGTGCTTGCTGGAGGTGGTGGGTTGTCACTAAGTGAAAAGTGCAGCAGGTTGCTACAGTATAATAGCATCTATGTGACTGCGTAATAGTGTGTTGTTATTTTCGAAGTTTGTCCCTAGAGTTAAGCTGTTAAGTAAACTGTGACTAAAACATATTTGAGATTGCTTCAACATGAGACACGTCATCACGAGGAAGTTCAGCACGCGATGGGAAGCAGAGTCGGTACTGTGGCATATTTGCTCGAAGCAAGAAGTGTGGAGCCAGAAAAACAGTCTTTGCTGTGCAGTGACCGCGAGAGGACGGATATAAAGACCCATTTCGAAGCAAAGGCTTTCTCTGTAAACACGTTCCCGCGTACACGAATAATGCAACAGTTGGGCTGTAACAATGGAAACGCGGTGTATCTACGGTGGTCCTTGCCGAGAGGAGGTTTGGAGCTTAGAGGATAGATCTCGTGTGGAGGCGGGGGCGTATACCTCCAGCGTAGCCCTGCGAGTCGTGGGCGGCGACGAAAAGCGAATCCAGTGCCTGGGGGTATAACTGGGCCACCCTGTTTCTCGGGGATATAAATATACCGACCTGGCCCTCCAGGTTGTGGGAGTCTCGAATCTGACAGTAAAATGTGGTCATGAGTCCCGCGGGACTCGCACCAGAGAATGCCTACGCTGGCGAGGACCATCGGCAATTGTAAACGACAGACCTACTCAAGTGTTCAGTTTGAAAATAAAATTACCGGTCGTGGGTCTCAAGGGGCTTGTCGCCAAGACGAACTGATTGGCGGTAAAGAGCCAGTCGTAAAGTGACTCTGACTGAGCTTAGTTGATAGCCGGACTGTGAAGAGAAGACCAGGAGGTTGGTGTGAAATTGCCGCCAGCCTGAGAGCAAGTCAATTGAAACTTATTTCTGTATGGGAGTCTGTGAAGACAGGATTTGAGTGCATGAAGCTGAAAAGTTTCCACTGTTAGAAGCCGACGTCGGTAAACGGCTGGTGAAGACACAGCAGGCTGGAAAAAGCTTAGCGGTTTCTGTGGTTATTTGTGAGTTGTGGAGATAGCGATAGCGCTGTAATTACTTGTAGTCACGAGCCGTGAGTGTATAAGTGGTCAATAAATCGAGTCACCAATGCAGACCCCGTCTTGATCACTCTTACACTTGACAATATACAGGAGATCTCAGTGAACACGCAGGAGTTTTCTTCCGTAGGGCTACCTCCTTAAGAATTATCTTCTTAAGAGATATTTCATGTGCACAGAATTCTAAATATGTTACAGATGATGATAGACTTGTAGTTTATTTTTCTTTCCAGAAATTGTTCGAACTCCTCCGGTTTTTTATTTTTTATTTTTGACATGCCTGCGTGAACTTGGTGACATTGGTGAACGGGGGGATTGCTCTGATGGCGGTGTTTAGAGTTTTGTCTGGGTGGAAACGTAACGCTATAAAAATGAACCCGTCAACTTCCCCATGTCCGTCTGTCTCCATATAACAACCAGTGAACTGCTGGATGGACTTTTATGAAATTGAGAAGTTTCACTGTAATTTGTAGCGTTTCCAATTTTCGTTGAATTTTGTCTTATGTGGGTTTCTGCGTTGCGTATACAGCACCAGTATGCCCTATATTGTTCTCTTTATTCCTATTGGTTCGCTCTGAGCTCTGGTCCGTGTCTGAACTCTCCCCTACATCCATAACTTTTGTTTACTCTTCCCCCTCCACATTCGACTCTGTCTTGTGCCTTGAATATTCAAGCATACACGGTTCCTCTGAAACATTGCTGACCGCCTACCAGATTACACTGAGTCACATTCCAGTAGCAATAGCGTTTTTTTTATTACAAAGTTCTGTACATGTATTAAACCTTGCCGTCTTCAACAGAACGCACAGCGAGTGTCCATGAGCCCACTGAGGGATGTAGGCGTTGTGTAGTTTAATCAGAGGCATTTGTTACAGCGTGTCACCCTCTGTTCCTTCAACATTGTAGCTGCAGCCACTGCCCCGTTGCCTCTTGCGATAACTTCTCACGCGCAATCCAGAGGCCAGGTAAAAAAGCACGGCCTGTGAAACAAGAGAGGCTATGGCCGTGAG